TCAAATTAATCATCTTTTGATGATCTTCGATTTGACATCCATATTGTATATATGAATGAAATAAATAAATTATATTTATTTTTATAATATTAAGAAATAATAATTTTTATTAAAATTCATTAAAAAAATAAATTTATTTCTCAATTGATATATTTATGCTTAATGTAGTTATATTTATAAGTTAAAAAAGGTATTATAATATAACACATGTAAGTCACACAAAAAAAATGTCATACTAAATATATAATAATATATATTTTCATAAAATGTATTTAAATTTTCAATTACTTTTTCTTATTATTTTAGATTTTAGAAAAGAAAAATTAGCAAACACCCGTATAATACACCAGCGTTGTACTAGCATATATATAAAGAGAGAACTTATTTACCAAAAGTAGTAACAAAAACAATCCGCAAAAATTAATTACATGTCACTTTGGGAAATTATTTGAATTTTATTTACCATAAAATCAGGCAACATTAAATTTTCTCTTAAATGGTGGGTTTATTCAATTAAGGTTTATTAATTCCATTTTATCTTACATTTCATATAATATATTTCTAATAAACATTAAATTTGCTTATATGATTTTAAATTAATTACTTAAATAAATAATATTAATATAAATATTTATCATTAGATAAACGATAAAATTACTTCTATAAGTGTTATAAATATTAATAAAATTATACGACAATAAATTTTTGAATAAAATAATAATTGAGTATTATGATGAACCAAAGTATGTAAAATTATTATTTTTTCTATTTTAAAAAATAAATATATATGTTAACGTATTATTTATATTAATATAAACGGGTCACCGGACTAATATATTGTAAACTAAAGTTTTGAAAAAATGTTCTAAAATATGAAACCTCGTGCATCGCACGAGATTCTTACTAGTTGTAGGAAAACAATCGGATTATATCTCTCTTAAGAATAACGCCATATAGGTAAGTTTGTGTCGAGTCTATTTTGTCCAAAATAAAATAAATTTACTAAGCATATATATTTTGTTCAGATATGTTTTGGTTAGCATTTTCTACACTATACATAATTTAAATGTGCAGTTTTAAGACATCTATATATATTGAAAGTCAACCTATTTACCAAAAACAGTAGGAAGAAAAGTCAACACACATTTAATGCATACTTTATTTGGAATTTTTTTACTATATGCATTAAATGTTTGCATATTTACATTTACTATCCAAATATGATCTTAAAGATTTTTTTCTTAAATAA